TGTGGGTATAATTACTCTCAAACTATGACTTTTAAAGAATTAAAATAATATTAAAAACTTGGAAGAAAATCAATGATTTGCTTTAGATATTTTTTGGTTCCTCATATTTCAGAGGCTATCTATCTGCAGATCTGTTGATATTTCTCTTGTTTTTTCCATTTTTTAAACTGTTGGTTAGCAAACTGCAAGAGAATAAGCTTGGACTTTAATTAAAAGTTTTATTCATGATTATTTTTTATCCTTCTTTTGGTGAAATTTAGCATTAGATGTCAACTTCTGAATTTCATAAGTTGTATTTTAAATCTTGTGTCTCTTCCATGTGAGAAATCAAGTTTAGAGATAATTATTATTTTTATATCGTCTTCTGTGGTCTCACCTCCATGATTCTAAATCATTAATGGTATCCTTTTGTTTATTCCAAAGGTTTTACAAAATGCACCAGATGAAATCCTAGTAGTAGCATCTTCCATGTTATGTAATCTTCTTCTTGAATTTTCTCCAAGCAAAGAGGTTAGTATTGATATCCTTTTCATGATGTTGCCTGTTCCAGCTAGCACTTAGTCAAATTAACTTTTCACAGTTGTTGACATTGAAATACATGGATTGGGTATAAAAACTACTTCTGAATTGTTTGATGAGGGTGATCATTTTTTAATATGACTATTATTTCCCAATATTCTTTCTATTCTACCTAGCATATTCAGTTTTTTAAAAGACATTACAAAGCTAGACAGAGTAGGATGTGCCTGTAGTCTCAGTTCCTCAAGAGGCTGAGATGGGAAGATCCCTTGAGCCCAGGAGTTCAAGACCAACCTGGGCAACATAGCAAGACCCCACCTCAAAAATAAATAAAGAAGTACATTAATTAATTAATTAATTAATAAGATATTACAGTTTATAGTCAATCTAAACTGCAAATATATGAAATAATTATACAAACAATAGACTATTTTCAAACTATACCTATACTAAAGAATAAATTAAGACTCAGTTTTGTAAACCAGGATTAGTTTTTGGTTTCTAATGTTGATGGCAGTTGTTTGGAAAGGAGAGAATGTTTTCCCACCCCTCTTTCTGCATTTTATAAATTAATCAAATTGTATATATTTTTTTTTAAATGGGGAAAACTAGAATTAGTAGAGGGGTAAACCTTAAAAAATCAGCTTGGCTGTATTATAATATCTCTGGTTTGGTGCTGGTAGTGTCTGTGCCTTGTATGCATGAGGCCCTGTGTTCAGTTCCTAACACTAAAACAAAACAAAAATCTGGCCTACCAAATCATGAACTCAAGTGTATTGGACATTTAGCAGTCCATTTTTGTTTTTTGTTTTTGTACATATCTCAGACACTATTTATTTATTCTTTTAATTTTTAAAAATTCTTCTTAATATTTTTAGATATATATGACAGTATATTTTGACATCTTATACATATGGAGTATAACTTCCCATTCTTGTGGTTGTCCATGATGTGGAGTTACATTGGTTGTGTGTTCTTATATGAACATAGGACAGTTAATGTCTGATTTATTTTACTGTCTTTTCTATTCCCATCTCACTCCCTTTCCTTCATTACCCTTGTCTAATCCAATGTACTTCTGTTCTCCCCTGCACACTTTATTGTGTGTTAGCACCTGCATATCAGAGAAAGCATCTAGCCTTTGGTTTTGGGGGGATTGGCTTATTTCACTTAGCACAGTAGTCTCCAGTTTCATCCATTTACCAGCAAATGACATAATTTCATTCTTCTTTATGGCTGAGTAATATTCCATTGTGTGTATGTGCCACATTTTCTTTATTCAATAATCTGTTGAAGGTCACCTAAGTTAGTATCATAGCTTAGCTATTGTGAACAGAGATGCTATAAACATTGGTGTGGCTGTGTCACTATGGTATGCTGACTTTAAGTATTTGGGGTATATGCCGAGATTTGGAATAACAGTCAAATGGTGGTTACATTTTAAGTTTTCTGAGGAATCTCTGTACTGCTTTCTAGAGTGGTTGCCCTAATTTGCAGCCCCACCAGCAATGTGTAAGGGAACCTTTTCCCCCCACATCCTCACCAACATTTATTATTACTTATATTCTTGATAATTGCCATTCTGACTGGATGGAGTGAGCCGAAATCTCAGTGTAGTTTTTATTTGCATTTCTTAATTGCTAGAGATGTGGAACATTTTTTTCATATATTTGTTGGCCAATTGTATTTCTTCTGTGAAGTGCCTGTTCAGTACCTTGAGTAGTCCCATTTTTGTTGAATTGATTTTCTTCAGGAAGGCAGTATTGACATGTGGAGGTTCAAAGACAGTTATTAAAAATTTTAGAACAAAATGGGAGAGACTGGAAGCAGAGAAAAGCAGAAGAGTAGGGCAGAGCTTCCAACATGTTCTCTGCCCAGTAGTGGGGTCTTGGCTAGATTATGATCAGATCTTCCTTCAGAATATTTAGGGTCCACTATTTAGGGAAATTTAGGTGGAAGAACTCAGGCAAAGAATCATTAATAATGATCATTTTTTAAAATATTAAAAATAAATTCGATTCTGTTCTGGAAGGGAGGGAAATGCTATAAGAAATTGTTGAGCCATTAGTAAAACTGGAATAGAGACTATAGAATGATAAAAGTATTGTTTTAATTTAATGGTAACTTTTCTGAAGTTGTTAACTATACTGTGATTGTGTAAGGGAATAAACTTCTTAGGAAATACACATTAAGGGTAAAGGGCATGGTATGTGCACTCAGATTTGAAATGGTGAGATAAAATAATGTGGATGTAGGTGAACAAAATGAGATATGATAAAGCAACTATGGAAAAAATGTTTAAAAATACCACAATTTGTATAAATAGAAGAGTATATAACTCTTTCAAAAATGTCATCTTGCAAGGCACTGCACTTTTAAATATGGAAATCTGAATTGCTTAAGACATTTCTAGAATCCACTTGTCAGATGGCCTTTAAACATTAATTAGTGATAATAAATCTTAATCTTCTAAATTTTGAATTTTTCTAGAAATTGCCAGAAAGAAACTCATTGTCAGCCTAGTACTTACTACAGTAAGTGGTCAGACTGAAGCATGCTATTTTCAGTGTAAAATGTGGCATGACTATAAAAGTACAAATCTGTTTTGCTTACAAAATTGAAAAGTAGTCCCGAAAATAGTTCTCAAAGATGAATTCCATAGCATTTAGGAATAAAACTGACTATTTGGAAGGAGGACGATTTGGTTATCTAAGTTCTGTTATATTTCTTTCCTAAACCAACCACTGCTTCATAATCCTAGATGGTAAGCAGCACACAAAGTCCGTACACAAATGAGGCAGGCAGGGCCAGTGTCAGAGGGTGTTGAGAGTGAGGGTGGGGAACTAGACGGTGGTCACACAGGTGTGTGTGTGTGAAGTACAGAAGGTCAGAGTCTCCAGAGTCTGTCAGGACTGCAAAGAAAGAATATGGCACAATGATGATGATATTGTGAGAGAAAAGGTGTCCTTTCCCTCCTCCAGGTGATTTTTGTGGCTGTATCATTCCTGCTTTTTGAAGCTTGCTTGGAACTGAGTAAGAATGGGAAACAAATTATATAATACTAGGGTATATACACATTTACTTCGCAAAATGGACTATAAAGCTCTCTCTCTCTCTCTTTTTTTTTTTTCTTAAACTTTTGCAATCACAGCCAATTTTAGAATCAGGAGCTGTAGAGCTACTTTGTGGATTAACCCAGAGTGAAAATCCTGCTTTACGAGTGAATGGAATTTGGGCTTTAATGGTATGTTTTACATATTTTATTATTTCATAATTTATATAATTCTCAAAGTTAGAACTAAAGAATGTATTATTTGAAATGTCAGGATTTTTCTGTTTTAAAAACCTGGCTATTATGGCCCAGTTTTCTAATGACCTAGAACCTAGAAAATAGGGTATTCAACTTTCAGATTTGACTGTAAGCAAGTTGCTTGGCCACAGTATGCCTGTTTTCTTCTTATTATGAAAAGTGAACAGATGTTGAAACTTCAATTACTTAATCTTGGGAAAACAATTTTTTTTTACCATGAATATAGTGATATTTCTAGAGAGCTGCCTACTTTACAAAGTATTTTATTCTCTTCTTTGCTCTAAAGTACAACATTATGAAGTAGACTGAGTATTCTTACCATACTTTACAGCTGATTTTTTAATTGACAAAAATTGCATGTGTTTAAGATGTACAACATGTTTTAAAATGTATACACATTGTATAATACCTGAATTGAGCTGATAACACGGATTGCCTCATATGCTTTTCAGAGTGATTAAATAAATTGCCAAGATTATAGGTTTAGAACATAAATGCTTAATAATTTAACATTTTCTAATAAATAATTTATAATAATGGATTTTGAAATTATGACATCAACTGGACAGTGTGGTGCACACCCATAATAACAGCTCAGAAGGCTGAGGCACAGGATTAAGGGCCAGCCTTGGCAACTTAGTGAGGCCCCATCTCAAAATATAATAAAAAGGGCTTAGGTATAACTCAGTGGTAGAGCACTTGCCTACCATGAGCTGAGTCAGTCTTCAGTACTGCAATAAATGAATGAATAAATATATGAATAAAAGAAACACACACACACAGAACCCTTTTTCCTTAAGATCATTAAAGTAAGTTTTATTGAAATTGGAAAGGAAGTAAACCTACATGATATTTTAAAAACATAATTATAGTAGTTATAATTTAATTGCTGTATACCAGATACTCTTGTTTCCTCTATTTCTTATTTTAAGTTATATTGGTATATATCTACCTTACAAATGGGAAACTAGGGCTCCAGGAAGTTAAATGAATCGTGAGGGAGAAGGCCTCACAGCTAGTAAGTATGGAAATGGGTTCTGAAGCTGTCCCAATCTGTACTCTTCTTCCTGTTCCACGTCTGCTTTGTTTTCATCCAAACTTTGAAATAGAAATAACCATCTTCTAAGCAAGCACCAAATCCAGTGGTATCATAGTTATTTTTCCCCTTAACTTCACACTGCTTTTAAAACTCTTTTTCTTCTTAAAACTCTGTCCTGGGACTTTTTTTTTTTTTAATTCACTTTTTATTAAGCCTCGTTTTCAACCTTCTTTTCAGGGAACATTCCCCCAAGTTTCACTTCACACTTCAGTTTCAGGAACTCCCCATAATGGAAAAGGTTACTTCAAAACCTACATATCTGGATATGGCTGTTATCTGTTCCCAAGATCTATCACTTAAACAACCTGTGGAACTTCATTTGAGAACTCCCTGAGAATAGCAACTTTAATGTGAGAAACTGAACTTACACCCCACTCTAAAAGTTCAGACAAACAATCTTATTTTCAACAATCTCCATATTATTAGTTGCCATGTTCTCTACCTACAAAATATACAACATTGGACTTGTCTTCAGCCTGGATCTCTTCACTTGATCTTAATCAAAAGTCCAAGATGCAATGGTCTAGGTCTAATACTCCTTTTGCTCTACCATATTGTCTTGCATCATTGGTAACTTTATCTCTCATGTTTTAGCTCCTTAATTAAAATAAATTCCTGGAAGGCAATAGCTACATATTACTTAAAGAGATTTTTATATCAAAAGTTGATGAGTTATGATTTAGAATTTGCCATGTTTTTGTTTTGGGTGGGTAGGTTGTTTCTTTTTAATTCAGACATATTATTATAGTTTTCAATTAGCTGGGCTAATTCATAATGTGAATAATAAAAAGGAACAAAGTAGCTACTGTTTGCTGGTAGCCAGGACATACCTTCTTCTCCCTGGAAAATTTCCTGTGTGATAGATCCTAGTCATCCAATACCTAGCATAGTATTAGGAACACAATAGGTGCTCTCATGCTGGTAGAATTAGCACATCACTGCTTATCTTCATCTATAATAAGTGAGTACTTTGAAATTGTTTTCAAAATGCATGGCACAGTATAGTTATCAATAGTCATATGGTTAGGGCTGGGGTTCTGACTCAGGGGTAGAGTGCTGGCCTAGCACGTGTGAGGTGCTGGGTTCAATCTCCAGTACCACATTAAAAAAAAAACTAAATAAACAAAGGTATTGTATCTGTCTACAACTAAACATAATTTTTTTACAAAAATGGTCATATTGTTACTAAAATACAGGGAAAACAACTTGATAACCATAAATATAAAATGTATTTATTACTTCTCAAAAGTAATAAATACATTTTGTATTTATCTGAGAAACCTTAAGACCTTCAAATGCCCATGCCAAAAAGTAATCATATTCATCATTATAGGTGTATACCTAAGAGTAGCAGTTATCCTTCTCTTGACAAATAGAAATATAGGAAATTAACAGGAATCAGAAAAATAGTATTACTCATACTTAAGGATTTTAACAGATTCTGTTTATACTTTGAAAATTATCAGAATTAATACAAAAATAAAAATTATATAATTTAATAAAATAAATATAGAAATGATTCTTGCAACTTCTTTAATCCTTTCAGAATATGGCATTTCAGGCTGAACAAAAAATAAAAGCAGATATTTTACGAAGCTTGAGTACTGAACAGCTATTCCGGTTATTATCAGATTCAGATTTGAACGTGCTGATGAAGACATTGGGACTTCTTAGAAATCTCCTTTCTACTCGACCTGTAAGTAAAATCACCCAGGCTTCCAGATTAGCTAGCCCTCCGTGTCCATAACCCAATACTGCTGTCTCTGCTCCCCAACATCTACCTATGAGTATGACTCAATGTTGCCCCTTTTCAGAGAAGCATGGAGTTGATGTCTTGACCTGCCACATTCATAGGTGTTCTGGGAGCCCCCCTGCCCAACACTGCTGTACTGCCCATCCTATCTGTCTGTCCTCCCTTTGCACCAAATATATATCTGCCTTGATTTGTTACTTTATTCTTGCTTGGTTTGCTGGCCACATTTTTCATCTGCCTGAATCATTTATCTCTGAGGTTTCTGCTTGATTGAATTTAGAGAACTCTTCTTAATGCCATTCCATAGACACTCCCATACCTTCCCCTCCCACATTTATTGGATTAACCTCTGGAGATGTCATTGTGGAGATTAGTGGGTATTTGTCAATAGAAGAGGCACAGCTTTGCTGGTGGGGTCACACTCAGTGTAGTTCTGTGGTGTTCCCTGACCAACCATGTCAGGTGACCACTTCAGGTGGATGAAGAAACATGGTCATATTTTACTTCTCTGTGCTTTGCTTGTCTTTTGAATCATCTTCATACAGTTGTGCTCCAAGATAGTATTAATACCTACACTGTATTTTCCATGTCTGCCCCCCAATCCATAATTTTATGCTTCCTTTTTGTTTAATATCTTTGGGCTTGAGGACTCCCACTGATTTTAGTTCTGTATTCTATCAGACCAACTCTATGTTCTTTTTGTAGTAAAGTCATTCAGAAACGTATTTGAAGGCAAAGTGCAGCTTTACAGTATAATAAATACTATTCTTTGGCATCTCGTTCTATATGCTGTGTTGTTCTGCTTGAAGCAACTGTGTATCATAGAATGTTAACTTTTAGAAGCTTTCTGTTCTTTCTGTGGGCTTTTCATTTCCCAGATGATAACCGTGGCCTTCCCATTGTTTTACAGCATATAGATAAAATAATGAGTACTCATGGAAAGCAAATTATGCAAGCCGTCACCCTTATTCTGGAAGGGGAGCATAACATTGAGGTCAAAGAGCAGGTATGTGTCTTTTCTCCTGGGGAGTATTTTCTGAATGTGAGTACAAAGGCAGATCTTAGTTAGGAACCTCCTAAAATGTTCAGGTCTGAAGAAGACAGGGTACTGCTGCTATGGAGGGTCCATAGGCAAGAGAGAGGCTCCATCAGCCCTTGAACTCTTCAATATTTCTTCTTCCTGGAATAGAAAAAAACATGACCAGAGTCTATAGTTTCCCCCTGCGTCACACATTGTATACACTCTCCCTGTCTTTAAAGTAGCAGCCTTCTTTGGTCATCCTGGAATTATTCCTTTCTCCAGAATTCACTATTTCTAGCCCTTTCTGCCACCGTGCTATAAACCTAAATTCTTACAACTCCCTAGTCAGAGAATTTCTTATCCTGTTGATGGTTTTGGTTTCTTTACTCTTAGGCATCTTCTGTTCTTAGTCACCATCTGAACTCCTCCTTTCTGTTGGATTTTAGTAGGGCAAGATTGTGGTAGACATAAAAGTATGGACACTGCATTTATCAGGGAACCTCATGGGAAACACTTTTCTGTATTTTCTGGGTGATATCAAGGCAATTTTAATGTTATATATATTTTACTTTGCCATAAAAATAAAGGTCACTTGCAAATTTAAGATTTTTACACAGAATCTGAGGTGTTAGGTTTAAATTTATTGAGTCATACATATATATGTATGTATGCCTATATTAATGCTAGAAACTTGCCAAAATCATTAGTGGAAAGTTGGGCATAGAGAGTCTAAGTGCAGGGCCCAGACTTCTCCTCTTCTGTGTTCTGGAGCTGGAGTAGTTCAGCTAGCTTCCAAAGAGCAGTCCCAGGAGTAAGAGCAGAAGGACTTAGCAGCTGTGATGTAATTCATGAACAGAAAATGTTAGATTGATGGACTGCTTTTAAGATGTTTTGATGATTTTTTTCTTAAAATTAATCTCCAAAGCATCACTGAAGTGAAATGAGATGAAATTCATTACTGGAAATCTTATTAACAGGAAATACATTGTTCAGAAGAAACTATTCTATTTGGAGACCAGTGGAATAGATTTTGTCTAGGAAAGATAGCTCACCTGGATAGAATTTCCCTAACTTGAAAAATAAAGCAAGACAGGAAGGCTAGGTGAGATTTAGATGAGGACAAACAAAAAGACCAACAACAGAGGGTTTTTTTTTTGTAAGAAACAGATGACACTCTCATACAGATTTTGGAGATGATCCAGAAGTAGACAAGTATGGAATGCTTAAACTGCCTAGTCCTTAGCTGTAAGTTTACTATAATGCTTCTCAAAAATATCTAATGAATAATTTTTTAATCTAGGCCTAATTGATGTTCAGTATGTTGCAGCGATAAGTTTGTATATGTGTAAATACCCATGAAACCATCACCATAACCAAGATGGTGAACATATCTATCACTCTCTTTAAAAAAAGAGGAACTAGACAAGAATGTTCATCTGTCCCAGTCCAGTTCAACATTATACTGTTATATCTACCAAGTATAGTAAGTCAAGAAAAAAAGATATCCAGATTGGAAAGGAAGAAGCAAAACTACTCCCAGACAACATAAATAGAAAGTGCCATAGATCCATCATAAAAATCTAGAACTGATGAGCATGGTGGCGCATACCTGTAATCCCAGCAGTTTAGGAGGCTGAGGCAAAAGGATTGCGAGTTCAGAGCCAGCCTCAGCAAAAGTGACGTGCTGGGGCTGAGGTTGTGGCTCAGAGGTAGAATGCTTACCTACCATGCATGAGGCACTGGGTTCGATCCTCAGCACCACATAAAAATAAAATAAAGATATTGTGTCCACCTAAAACTAAAAAATAAATATTTTTTTAAAAAATGTGACGTGCTGAGCAATTCAGTGAGACCCTGTCTGTAAATGAAATACAAAATAGGGCTGGGGATGTTCCTCAGTGGTTAAGTGCCCCTGAGTTCAATTCCTGGTACCCTCCCACCCGCCAAAATCTAGAGCTTATAAATAAGTTAATAAGCAGGTCACAAAACAGAAAAATTGATTTTATTTTTACATATAAGCACTGAACAATTAGAAGTGGAAACAGTGCCATTTAATAGTAGCTCAGAAAAAAATGAAATGCTTTGGTATAAATTTCAGAAGGATCTGTACACTGAAAATGACAAAACTCTGATAATGAAAGAAATCCAATAAATAGAGAATACTATGTTAAAATTCCATTTAACATTTTAATCATTTAGAGAATATTATGTTAAAATTCTCCCAAGGAGATTTACTGATTCAACATTATCTTAATAAAAATCCCAGCATACCTCTTATAAACATTAATATAAATGTAAATGCTAGAATATCTACTATGAAATAGAGTAATCAAGACAGTATGCCATCAGCAAATAGTTAGCACGTTAATACAACAGATTAGAGTCCAGAAATAGGCCCACACATATATGGCAATTGATTACTGCAAACATGTGAAAGCACCATTTTCAACAAATGGTGCTGTAACAATTTTTGACAAAATATTTTGCCAAAAAAATTTAACTTGGATTATATCTCACAGCTTAGATGAAAATTTATTCATAGGCATAACAAAAAAGGCATAGAGAAAATCTTTGAAAGATTAGGCAAAGGGTTCTTAGATATGATAGTATAAATATCCAAAAGGGAAAACTGGTCTTCATCAGAATGTAAAACTATTTTTGAAATGAACTGTAAGAGAATGAAATGACAAAGCATCCACCTGAAGGAAATATTTGTGAATCCTATGTCTTATGGACACATTGGACACAGTGACTTTTGTCCAGAATATATAAAGAGGTCTCAATAAGCAAAAAACCAACCAAATAAAAAAGCCAAGTGAACAATATTAACAGACACTCCATGATAAAATATCAGTACACTCTTTTAGATTGGCTAAAAATATTTTAAAACTGATAGTGCATCAAATGGCAATGCAGATGATACACTTTGGGTTTTGCAGTATCTTTTAAGATTGAAGATATACAGTTATCCCTCAGTGTCTGTGGGGGATTGGTTCCAGAACACCTAGGAATACCAAAATCTACAGACCCTCCGGACCAGTACATAGTATTTGCATATAACCAAGGCATATCCTCCTGTATACTTGAAATAATCTCTGACTACTTATAATATCTAATGTAATATAAAGGTTATATAAGTAATCATCATTTTTTAAAAAATAATGACCAGAAAAAGTTTGTACATGTTCAGTATGGACACATTTTTTTTTTTAATATTTTCCATCCATGGTTGGTTGAATCCATAGAAATGGAGTGCCAATTGTACTTACCATAAAGCCAACAATCTCATTTCTAAGCATGTGTTCACATAAAGCAAAAACCTATATTCACACAAAAACTTGCAGATGAACAACAAAAAAAGTTTATAACAACTGTTTTGGTAATCACCACAACCTAGAAATAAGCCAGATGTCCCTTAACTGGGCAGTGAATACACTGTGGGATACCAGTCAGCAATAAAGAAAGACAAACTGTTGATGCATTCAACAACATGGATGTATCTTAAGTGCCTTATGCTACGTGAAAGAAGCCCAATTTAAAAAGAAGCATTCTCTATGCTTCTATTTCTATGAGTCTGCAGAAGACAAAGTCATAGAAGAGAGAACAAACATATCCCAGACTTAAGGGAGGAGTAAGGGACTGTAAAGGGATAACATAGGGCATGTGGGGAGGGAGACAGAAGACCATTCTGCATGCTTAAGGCTGATTGTGGTGAGAGATTTATAAGATTTTGTACATTTATCAGGTAGAAATCAAACCAAAAAGTGAATTTTATTGTATTTATAATAACTGTGTCCTTATTTTTAACCCCAAAAAGTCAACTTGAATTTTATTTGTAATGACATCCAATAGATCAGTTTGGGAAGAAGTGACAATATTGAGTCTTCCAATCATTGAATACACACTATCTTCCCAATTAGTTAGGTTTTTAAAAATTCTTTATAGCAATATTTTAAAGGTTTTTGTATACAGATCATATACTTCTACATTCTGAGAAATACTAATGGATAGTTTTCTTGTAATGTGTTTATCTGGTTTTGGTATTGAGATAATGCTGGCTCTAGGAAACAAGATGGGGGTGTTCTCCAATCTTCCTTAAGAATTTGTAGAGAACTGGTATTCTTTTTTTAAAATGTTGGTCGAAACTTCAGTGAAGCCTTGTAGACATGGTGTTTCTTTTGTGAAAAGATTAGCTACACATTCAGTTCTTTAATAGGAACAGGACTGTTCAAGTTCTTTATTCTTGAGTGAGCTTTGGTATTACGAGTTTCTGTAATGCTATACAATCTCTATAGTAACCCTTTACCCATGCTGTTCTATCCTGAAAGTAACTAAAGATAATATGTAAGTGAATATTCATGGCCTCTTCAGAAAAACTTTATTTACTAGAACAGGCAGTGGTAAATAAATCACCTGTTTTCATGAAGGAGGCTCTGCCAGGCTAAAACCAACAGGAAAAGAATGAGCCAGCAACAGGGACAGAAGTAGAGCTTGGCTGAGGGTGCAAAGGGAACATGGAAGAATCTTTCTTCTTCTCAATTTTCTTCCCATTTCAATCCTATGAATTAGCTAAAGCAGAAAAAGAAATAATGGAAATGACTCTGACCAAGGATAGGAATTCTAAAAGGTTTCATGACCAAGGTGCCCCTGGGGAAAGGAGAATACATTTAGATTCATTGGGGAGAATGACATTTATAGGGAGATACCTCAAAATAGACTAGGGCAGCAAGATAAGTAATTGATTCCTCTTTTTGGAGTGTTAGAATAGACCCATGGAAAGCATACTATAAACATTTCTGTGGAGATAAAACCAAATGTTAAAAAGTTCAATTAGTTCTAGGGCCAAATCAATTCAATATACCAAACAGCAGAGATAAAAAAAAAAATACACACGTGTGTATATCCACTAATATGAACAATTGGAAATCAATGAAACAGACTAGGGATTAGCAAACTGTGGCCTGTGGGCTAAATCCAGCCCACTGCCTCTTTTGGTAAATAAAGATCACTCTTAAATCTGACATCTTCCCTAGGTCAACTCTAATTTGAGGGAAAGATCAGAGTCTCCTGATCATTACCTAGCTAGTCCTCCAGTGCCCGATTAGGAATATATATAAATATATATATTCCTTATTTTACTTATTTATATATATAAAATT